TGCATTACCCACCACTTAGGTTCTACTATTAATAGTTTACTATATTAGTTGTATGCATCTATCCATCTGTCAACTCATTTTAATTTGGTTCATTTCAGAGTAAACTGTGAACATTACTACTCTGCTGTAAATAAAACTACTGGTTTTTAATTTCTGTTTTTGAATTTTTAGCAGGCTGGGCTGTCAGCTCACCTATATATAGATGATGTGGCTCTTCCTGTGGGTGGTTTATCTTCGCAGTCCCTCTTACCCAGGCATTTGAACATTGACTCTTTAACTATAGTGGTGCTTAGCCTATTCACTTGAGTTCCTAGAACGAGGAAAAGGGTGTTTTTACAAATCCAATTATCTACAACACTCTAGTATTTGAGGGGGAAAAAAAAGACCCCTGCAAGTAGTGTAGATGGGAGAGTAGAAAAAACAATTCATTCCCCTAGAGATATAATCAATTTAGCCTATGTCTACATTTCAGGGTTACCATATGGCAGACTGACTTAACATAAACTTTATTTCACCTTTAACAACATAGGAGCTATAGAGAGTATAGATGGTTAGAGGCAGAAACTGTAGTGAGGGAAGGTGGTAAGGAGTGAGGGAAAAGTTTTTAGCTGGCAAATGGATGGTATTTTCAAAACAAGAGATTGCTTTACGAGGGTTTAAGAAACAACTATTACTGCATGTAGTTTTCAAGCTTAAGGACCATGATCCAGCAGTATAACAATCTGTTAACATGGCATTCTATTAAGGTTTGTTTTGCCTCCATTTTCACATGTCTTGTATTTACATTTAAGTTTTAATTGATGTTTTGACCATATGTTTGGCCCTGAGAAGATTTTGTGAAGGCTTTCATTTTTTAAATAAATTAAAAAGTAACATATTTAATATATACTAAGCAAAAATATCCACCTTAACATCCCCAGAAATGACATCTTGGTGCAATAAAACTTGGTTTAAAACTTTGTATGTATTGGCACCATACACAAAAGACAATATCTTAGAGACTTGGGGAAAGGATATTAGTTTGGGAAGAGCCAATGGACTAAGTTAATTCTCACCCCAGGTGTTGCCTGCACAGGTGAAGGGAGGAGGTGAGGCAAACATGAAGTGGGCAACATTATGTAAGTTAATTAGAAACAGAGGGTGAATGAGGAAGTCTCTCAATGACCAGTCCAAGAAGGCAGCAGTTTTGTTTATCTTAGTCAACGAAAGAGCTAATTCAACCATAAAATTAAATAGAAGAAAGAGGCAGATATCATATTTTTAAATGTTCTTTGATTTTTAAAACATGTAGGCTCCCTGAAATTTCTCTCGCTGAAGAAAATTAAGTGCTCTTGTCTCAGAGATAAGAGTGTGACCATCCTAGCCTTATTGATTCAGTCCTTGGAGCCTGCATGATAGTGATGAGCTTTGGGCTCCATGGGTTATGATAGTAATTAAGCTTGGCCTCTTTCACAAGAGCCAGGCAAATGCATCTCATTGTAGATTTAGCTTCATACACAGGAAGCTGTTTATAACAGCTACTTATCTACTGGTACAAGGTGAGTAAAAGTAAGTGCTCATTACTTTCCATGTTGCCACTCATGTAACGTTGTAAGAATTTTCTATGGGCTGGTAAATTTTAGTGCTTAACCATGAGGCTATTTTGCAACCAGGGAATAAAAATAGCAACTATTATACTAATACTTAAATCAATATTTCATGCTTACAGTTCTGTATCTAAGATATTCAAATGGAAATAGGCATTATACCAAGGACAAAGGAAAAGACGTAATTTAGTAAAAAAGCATGGAAAAGAACAACACTGTCCTTTTAACTAATGCCTTTAAACTGAGATATTTCAAGAAAAATCCACTAGAATAATGGCTTAATTGATAAAGAAAGACAGCTTCTTCTATCTTTCTGTTTATGCATACTATTGTTTCAGCCCATGGTGTTTTGTTTACTTTGGAAGAAAATATTTTACCCCCTCTGAGATAATTAATTTTTGTCAGCTTCACTGTTTATAAGGGAAACTGAGAAACTGTTAATTGAAATACAGAATGAGTCACTGTTTTCAGCAATTTTTGGCAGCATTCTAATTTGTGTCAATCTCAGCCTAATTATTGAATTTTTTTGGAAGTAGAAAGCATATTTGATTTTTCTCTTACTGCATTTTTTTCTTCTTTTATAAAAAATATATATGTGCTGCCTGACAAAGTTTATAAAATTTATATCAACATGAGGTGAAATACCAGTACATTTGAAATACCAGGAGGTTTACTGTGTCATGCTTGGCTCTTCACAGTAGCTAAATATTTAGAAAGCTCACAGAGTGTGGTCTTCCTCCTTCCTTATTTCTACCCCAGCCCAACTAAAAAATGTGTTTTTTTAAAGACCTTTTAGTGGGTATTAAGCCACAGTATATGGCCCATCATTAATGACACCAGTGAAGTAAACTTCCCAGAAGTAATCAGAAAGAATTCATTTGGAAATCCAATTGGGTGTCACTTGCAAAGGGCAGGCTCCTAAAGGAGGTGACCTGTCATGCATCCCTGAGTTATTTGTTGTAAAAGCATTAATCACCATGAACTCATCTTCCCTTAAAGCAAACACACTACATTGTTTCCCAGGAATTCTGTTCCAAATGATCATTAACGTAGAGAGTGGAAGCTGCTGACTGTGGACAGGGTTAATAAAATCTGTCAGATCAATGGCCAGTGTAATGGTACTTTTAATAGTTACTAATAGAAGTTGGATCTTTTCTGGCTGTGGCAGAATGAAGGTGAAGGGAGGGGCAGTGGCTTTGCTGGGCAGATAGCCCCATCTCTCATGTCCTGAGGTGGCCTCTGGGTGAAAAGAGCATCCATGTCAGTCTCAGAGCAGTGCCAGGGCTCTGAGGAGACTGTGGCTGGAAGCATAGGCAACAGCTGTGGGCTGAGGAGGGAGGCATGGGGTGGCCATGGAGACAACTCTGCAACACACCCCACCTGCTTGCACATCACATCCTTCTGCAGGCTATGAGGTCAGGGAGTGTCTGAGCACCAGGTGCTATGCATATCCCAAAACTTTGCCTCACCCATTCTACATTGGGTCAGCAATGACATGAAGAACAGCATCACAATAGGAGTGACAATCACAGCACTGGTCACGAGAAGTCTCCTGAGCCAAGGAGCAGCCCTTTACGTACACTTACCTCAACCCTTAGAGCAGCACTCCTAAAACATGTGTATGATTTGTTATCCTATTTCATATCTGAGGAAGCCAAAGCTCAGACAGATTCAGGAGCTAGCCCAAGGCCAGATTCAAAAGTGTGTGCTCTTAAACACCATGTTTCTTTATTGGGGAGAGACACAGAGAAGCTGTAGCCTACAATCGAACCCAGAAAAGATGCCATGTATGGCAATGGGGTCAGAGGTCTTCCATTTGCATATTCAACCAGTCAGAATGTTCAGAACCAACCTTGGACAAAGTATAAAAGGCATGGTTTGTCTGAAATCATGTTTCTCCAGGCTTTGCTACTAAAATGTGGTTCCCAAGGCCTTTAAGAGGCCTAACTACTCTGTGTTTCCCCAATGGCAGCTTTGGTAGGGTTCTTTTGGGAGGCCTAGTAAATACTCTATGCTTAAGGCTTGCTCCTTCTCATTCCACCCTTGCCCTGTCAATACTTGTCTCATATCCTGTCATGTAAGAGTCTTAATCTCCTGACTGGCTGTACCTTAGCTAGGCCAGGCAAGGCCAGAGGAAGCTACTGCCTCCTGGGGCTTCCCTCGAGCACAAGAACTGACAGCAAGGGCCATCCGCAGCCAGTGCTCAGGGTTCTAGCAGCATGGCTGGGCATGGGAGCAGGGTGATAAGGGCACTGTGATGTTCCTAAATACCAGGTGAGTCCCGCAGCCAAGGTGCTGACATAGCTGCCTCAGGGCTCAGGAGCAGGCATGGGATGGAGCTTCCAGGTAAAAGCTATGGATGCAAGAGAGATGAAAGAAGAATGACAGGTGTAAATGTAAAAACTGTAAAATACATTATTTAGTATTCCCAGTAAGTGCAGAGTATGGCAGAAGTGCTCACTTAATTTATTTAATAAATGAAAGGACATTTCACATAAACTCAAGTTACCTACCTTTCTCAGATCAGTTCCCATGACTAAGAGGGGAGCAGGCCTCAGTGGTCTTTCCATGTGAAAACACCACTATTACTAAAGGCTTATTTCCTTGATTACATTATGTTTTATAAAAGTAATGTTAAGGATTTGAAAGATGTAAGAAGGCATATGGTTGTGAACTAGAGGATGAAGCATGGAAGGAGTGGGGAGGACAGAGAGGGTCTTAGAGGGAGGCTCTCACACACCCCACAGCACCTATCTCTCATCAACAGGATGGTTCCACAGGCCCAAGTGCAATGGAAATGCAGAGACAGGCTGAGATGTGTTCTCTGGCCCCTAAGATCTAACACAAATATGCATCATAAGTGCTCAACTACATGGCACAGGCTATAAATGCAATCAAATTGAGTAAAATATGTTAGTAAGAGGAAAATTCAGAGATAGCATCATGGAAGCTTGCATAGGTTGTGAAGACCATGTGAATAAAGGGAGAAAAGACACATTTTATACAGTTGAGGCATGAACAGAAATATGTCTGAAGGTGAGAGCAAGCATATTGGGTTCAACTAAAGATGTAGGAAACAACTTTGTTCCAGTAGAGGAGTGTATGTGTGCACATTCATGTGTGTGTGTGCATGTGTGTTAGGAGAGGGAAGCAGCAGGCAGTAACCAGAACAAGAGACATTGGCAGAACTTTACAAAGAACCTTGGTAGCCAGATGAAGGAGTTTGGATCAGTATGATAAGCAATAGAGAGCCACTGTATGTCCTTGGACACCTAAGGGACATGATCTCAGACAAGTTTTGGAAAGTTTTATCTAGTAGATGTGGAAGAAGCTGGAGTGCTGGGGAAGAGAGAATGAGAGACACCAGGAAGCAAAGGCCCACTGTTGTATGATTTTTCATCTTTTCTCCTCCAGCACACATCCATATTTCCCTTCTCACTGGTTGAAATCATCCTCAGGCCACACTGCTATCCAATGAAGAAGAAAGGACTCACCTTGTTGGCTGCTGCTAGCCTTGTTTACATTAGCAGGTAAGAATTGCTGAGAGAAAATCAATTTAGGCTTGTAGTTCAAGTCTCTGAGGAATATTCCAGAAAAATGCTGTTCTGTAAGAGTGCCTTCATATTGAGTTAATGGGGATTTTAGCAATCTTTAAATTTTCAGTAAGAAGGACTTCTTTTTTTTTTGGGGGGGGGGACCATTCCCGGAAGTACTGCAATACCAAGTGGATGCACAGAGTGGAGGAGTAAGCTCCTATTCCATCTCCCAGCTCCAGATATCCATTTAATATAATGTTCTTAGATACAGAATATATTAGATATTAAATTGATAAGAACAGATACTTCACTTGATCTTGGCCAAAAGGCCAGGAAGCAATCAAGTAAAAAAGATTTTTATTGTTTGGTTTTGGTACTCATGGAAACATTGCAGGCCAAAAAAGACACAGATGGGCACACAGCCAGGCATGATTTCCCCTCTCTTTCTCATGCAGAATTCACCGTCACAAAGCTATACATGTTACTTCCCCCAAGAAAATATTGAACTTTGGTGCCATTTCCAATTAGATATTTGAATAGCTGAACGATCCAAGGCATCTAAATATATTCTTTTAAAAAGGGCATTTGGCAGGTTGAACATGATAGATTTGGTCCATTCCTGTTGCCTATATCATTATGGATTTATTTGCATCAACATCTGCCACTATAGCTCCTTGAGGGCATTTAGGCAATTGCCCAGGGGCCTGCAGAACAGCTAGCAGGGTACATGCAAGATCATTTTAGCAGCTGGTCTAGATTTTATCATTCAACCACCTGGTGACACTAATCTCAGAAATACTGCCCAGAAAATGGAAAGCCCCTTTCCACTCCACAGCCTTCTCATTTACTCCATGTTTTTGCTTTACTGAAAGGGGCACGCCAAGCATAATGCCAACAGATCAGAAGCGCATCGTGATATTCTTTCTGTAGTCTAGACTCACATAAACTGTTCATATCTGACAATCTCAGTAATCCCCCAAACACTATGTGGGGAAATGTCTAACTAGGTACAGTACTCTGACAGAAGCCAGGTAGAGAACACATCCAGAGGGCCCTGGGCTCCAAGTGCCTACTCCATGAGCTTCACAAGCTTTCGTCTTAGAGCAAGTAACCTTTGTGCCAGAACTCAGATGATGGTTTCTTCCTCGTGTTTCCTTCCCTTATGGGAAGCCTGCTCCTCTGTCCCTTCTGTGCTCCTCTTTCCCTGAGTGCCCAAAGTCTTTCTTGCTTCTCCTGTCTTAAAGAAAGTATTGCCCAGTAAATCTACCCCAGTATCCCAGTGATCTACACTGTTTTCCAGCCTGCAGCCTTTGCAAATGCCATTTTAGATAATAAGGCTTACATTGGGAACCTACTGGTAATTGATATCTGGAGCACTGTGTTTGGAAGAATTCTGAGGTTCTACCAAAACAGAGTTGTGTTATCTTTTAGCAATATCTGCCAATAGCATGAACACGGGGAGTAGCAGGATATGTGCCACATATTTGCCAGGTCTGGCTTAACCAAAGAAATAAGTCTCTAAAGATGGAATACCTGGGATGGAGTTGGGGAGAAGAAGGTTGGTAGCTGGTTGATTATGTATTTGAATTTCCATACCCTGGTGTATTTTTTTTTGTATTGTTTTTCTGGTGGATTTTAAACTTATTTAATCTTTTTTTGCCAGGTGTAACTTTTGGAGTTCATATATAAGATAGTACTTTTGATCTATTATCTTTTTCTACCTAAAGATTTGGAAGTTGATCATTGATCTTTAAATCTGATCTCTGCTCTTTTCCTCCTCAGTAACAAAGAAGGCATGAGAACACTCAAGTCCACTGGCATTTGGGGGGAAATTTCAGCAGCCCTAAAAGATGAGAAACAGTGGTTGAGAGGGCTTAACTTGTCAGTGCTTGATCATGTATTCTGACAATGCAGAGAACTGGGTGGCTGGGGAGAAGAAGTGCCACAAGATGGGGTCAGGTGTGAGTACATCATATGCTCATTTAATTATATTCACAGTGCCAGACACTCTGCTAAGATCCCAAGGACACAACAGTGTACACAGTCCCATGCTACTTTCTGGGACTGTCTGGGAGAGAGAAAAGTATACACACAATGGGAAGACAGGATGATGAGACTGTTAAAGGGGTAAACGCAGGGTGCTGTGGGCTGCTGAGGACTGGCTTCTTAAGGAAGTAATGTCTAAGCTGAGACCCAAAGAATGAGTAAAAACAAGTCAAAAGAGACATGGGTAAGACCTTCAGGCTTAGGGTCAGATCTGTGAAGGGCTGGAGGAGCTGAGGGTATAGCTGAATTGTGGGACAGGGAAAAGCTAGATCATGAATTCACATTAATGAGCTGGGACTTTTAAACTGAGGGATTTTCTATGGGAAAGTTTTAAGCAGAGGAATGAAATTATGTGTCTTATGTAAGAAAGATGATTAAAAAGTTGATTTTGGGAGAAATAGACAAAAAACTGTACTTGAAAAATAACTAAATAAAATTAATTAATTAAAAAAAGTTGATTTTGACATAAGTGTGGAAGTTAAAGAGGAAAGGGATGAGGAGAACAATGGTAGCATTTGTGAGACTTGATGTTAGCCCACTGATCACAATATCAGTCAATTTCAAATGCAATTATAGAAGGTGAGTCAGAGAAGTAGACTAAGAGATCATCTAGCATTGGAGAACTGAGACCTCAGTGGGTTAAATGAAATGCCCAAGGTCATATAACCAGGGAAAATCAAAGCTGGGAGTTAAATGCATGTCTATTTCCAAATCCAGTTCTCTTCCCAAGGTCACATTGCCAGGAATATTTTCAGTTCACTGCATGTGCAAAACATATTCTTCTAAGTGCTAGAGGAGTTGGGTATGCAAAAAAGCTTAACGTGGTTCCCACTGTCTAAAAGCTTTCATGATGTTGTATCCAGAGCTGTGCTTGTGATGTTAAAATGATGTAATGGAGCAAGTGGAAGAAAGCACCAGCAGAAATGTGACTGGGTGGACCCCAGTGGTTTGGGATTTGGAATTCCTTATCATTAACAAAGAAGTAAATCAGCATTTGGTCCATCAGGCCCCACTATTCCTAGAGTAAATCAAATGCATCTGTATGTGGGCATGTTATGCTATGCCATTGAGTGAAGCTTCTCTACTTCTGTCCATTCCTTGGTTAAAGGAGCTTAGACTCTTTGCTGCCTGCTGTCTCCACCCTTAAGGATGCAATGCTCTGGGGCCCATGATCCCTCCCAGCCACAGATGGCCATCAACAAGCTCCACAAACTGTGAATATCCATGGAGATGTTTTAGAGAAGTAGCTGTGGATCAGCTGTTAGGTGTGCCTGTTTAGATGGTCAAATAGGGAAATGGTATAGCAGAAATGAGGTCAAGAATATGGGCTTGGGCCAGACAGAGCGTGAGAAACAAACACAAGTCTGAAAAATGGCAATAAGTCTGAGCTAAGAAAGCATTTCACTGCAGAAATCACATCACAGTGACCTAAAAATAATTACTAAGACCGTGGGGACTGCCTTACATGTGGAACTTACTTTTTGTTATTTTTCAGATTGCAAAATTGGAGGGCTGGCCCTTAAGTGGGAAAATAAACCTCGCAAAGTAGTAATAACTGCAAATCTTTCATTTCCTTTGGAAAGCATTAGTCACCTATAAATATGATAGCTCACTCACTCCTCCCTTCTTTCTCACCTCAGAATACATCAACTATCTCTCTCTGAGGCAGTGGTGAGGAGCAGGAAAATATAAGTGTTCCTACTCCTGGCTCTTATTCATTCTTTTATTGAACAAATATTTCCATTAACACAGGCTGGTCTTTCTGGGAAAAGCAAAGTTATATAAGGCCACCTCCCAGCCTATCAGGGACATGTGCTTATTAGTAAGTGGAGATGAGCCATGCATATAAATTATAAGAACAAGCAATGGGAAGTAGTACAATGTCAGAACAAATACAAGGAGCCATAGAAACATGGAGGAGGAAGTGATTATATCTTGCTGCTCAGTGTGGGAAAGGTGTGCATTGAATCTGGGCCCTAAAGGACTGACTGAATTGGAGATTTTAAAAAATGAGAGAAAGTGAACCACACAGTATAGTCCTACGGCTAAGGGAGCACAGATCATATTAGAAGAAAGGTCAACAATTCACTGTAATTGGACCTCTTAGTGAAAGAGAATGACAGGCAATCACCCTGGAACTGCCCTCCTAAGGAGGCTTGTGGATGGCAGGCTAGAGGCAGTTAGACATAGTTTAGACAATATGAGATTTGATTGTTGCTTGTTTATTTCTATGACATGGTGGTGGGAGTGAGAAGTATTCTCAACATAGCCAGAGACTTATGCTTTCAAAAGGTTCACTTGACGAGAGTGCTTAAAATGGATTGAAATGACAAGACACGGGAAGCAAAACAGAATAAAACAATATACAAATAGAAGTTATCTAGAATATTCTTTTCATCTAGTTTAATCACATTGTCTTATTCTTTATCCATGGTTATTTCATAGTTCCAGTGTCATTCCACATCTGTATGCTCAGAGCACCTTCTGCCTGCATGCAGGTAGCCCAGTCTCCCAAGACCTCCATCTCTACAGAATTCTAATAATCTGACGAGTGCTCACACATACCCGTGTTGTACATAGTTCTGAAAACTGCTCTCCCACAGAGATTGTAGAGTCACAGTACCTAGTCTTCTGGGCCCAACAGTTCCACTTGGTTCTGCTTTAAGGTTAGCATTCCACCCCCACTACTAACAATACCAACACTACTATGGCCTATTTCCCATTAGTCCCCTGTATTAGTAGAAAAAGAACAATGCTGCTGGCCACTGCAACAGCCCCAGCTATCCCAAAGTATATTACCACCTTGCTTTGGTAGACCAGAAATTTGCTGATGCCATAGGTATCTCTGCTAGTAATTACAGGTCAAGTGCAAGTGTTACACAGATATGCAGCCATAACCCAGCCTTGAGGGAGATATTTTCAGAGTCACTTCTCAATACCAGTTTGGAAAACGTACGAGGTGATTCCTTTCTTCTATACTATGTTTACTCAGGGGAAGACCACAGCAAATCTGCCAGGGCCCCCAGGTTTAACAATCTTCTAAATTAATGCACCCATTTATACATTCATGCTTATACATACAGACATCATACCCCCAGAATATCTTAAAAACTGCCGGAGCGCTGGACTAAGCTGAGTTCCAGGATCAGCCAGCTACCTTGCCAAATCTAGCATTAACAATACCCTTCTACTCCCACTAGCGCCTTGTGTGAATTCTCTCCCAGAGCCACTGTTACCCTTTTCTGAAATATGGCTGCCTCTTGGGACCATCTAGATGCTCCATAGTTTCATAACC